AAATCAGATAGTCCCTGGTGAGCTCCCATCGTGTTAGTCCAGAAGAAGGATGGGAATCAACGTTGCTGTGTGAACTTCAGGGCTCTTAAAAGCATAATCGAAAAGGACTCGTACCCACTGCCAAGAATTGATGATACTCTTGATGCCCTAAGTGGAGCCAGGTGGTTTTCAACTCTGGACTTAAAGATGGCTTTCCATCAAGTGAAAATGGCTTAAGCAGATAAACCTAAGACTGCATTTAGCTATGGCCAATGTCTCTGGCAATACCGTGTGATGCTATTCAGGCTTAACAATGTTCCAGCAACATTTGAGAGGCTGATGGAAAGAGTACTGGAAGGCCTACAATGGAGCATAGCCCTAGGGTACCTGGACGATGTCATTGTGTTTGCAACAATGTTTGATGAGGAAGTGTCCCAGCTAGAGGAAGTATTCAAGCATTTGAATGCAGCAAACCTCAAACTCCATCCCAAGAAATGCCACTTGTTCCAGAAAGAGGTGCTTTACTTGGTTCTCATTGTAAGTTAACATGGTGCGCGAACTGATCCTGACAAGGTGAAAGCAGTGCGTGATTAGCCAGACAATGTAGGAGAGTTAAGAAGTTTCTTTGGACTCTGTACCTATTACCGGAAGTTTGTGAAGAACTTTGCAACTATAGCTGCTCCACTATATGATTTAACAAAAAAAGTCCAGAAGTTCGAATGAACAGTTTGTTGCCAGCATGCTTTTAAGACATTGAAAGAAAAATTGGCCTCTGCTCCAATTTTAAAGCTTCCAAATCCCTCACTGTCGTACATACTGGATTGTGATGCTAGTAATGTCGGAATTGGAGGAGTGTTGTCTCAGAAGGGTCCTGAATAGATCAGAGAGGAACTACTGTGTAACATTGAAGGAACTCCTTGCTATAGTAAAGAGTCTGACATTTTCCCATCCTTACCTATATGAAGCCAGGTTTACCATCAGAACAGACCCTGCTGCATTAGGCTGGTTAAGATCATTAAAGAACCCAGAGGGACAACTGACACGTTCGATCGGAAATATAGACCACTATAATTATGATATTGAATACAGAAAATGAAAATCTCATGGAAATGCTGACGGACTGAGCCGAAGACCCTGCAAAAATGACTGCAGACATTGCTGCAAAATAGAGGTTGATCTAACTAGGTGTGATCAAAATTACAATTCAACAAAGTCTCTTAATTTTACGGGACGTATCTTTTTCCGCACTGGTCTCCGTCTCGTTGGCTTCTGCTTCACGTGGGGTTCATCTGCTTCATCAGGAAATGTTCTATCGTCTATAACAGTCACATCAGTGGTAGTAACTTCATCAAGAGCTTCATCGTTTCCCTTCTCAAAACTGAGTAGAGTTTCTTCTTCGACGGTGGCTTCTTCAGATGGCACGTCTTCAGCAGCGTCATTTGTTCTGTTGTACACTTCATCCCAACTGAAATGTCCTGGACCGTGATAACACCAAAGCCTGTTGGCATGCACCACTTTTGGCTTACCTCGCCAACCACATTTTACCCGGAAAGTCACGCCTTTAAGACGATCCACTATGTCATACGGGCCTTCCCATGGAGAAGACAACTTAGGAGACTTCCCTTTGGTCTTCCTGGGATTATACAACATTACCTTGTCTCCTGGTACAAAGCTGACTTCAGTGGATCTCTTATCATAAGTTAACTTCATCGAATCAGCAGACGTTTTCAAGTTTGAACGCACTTGATGGTGAATATCATCCATCTTTTCCGATAACACTTTCACGAACTCTGACACATTCTTAGGCAACTCTTCATAAGGTGGGCATCCTGGTAACAGATCCACTGGCAACCGAAGTTCCCGACCAAACATCAACTTTACTGGAGTGTATCCCACACTGGTCCCCACAACCATGCAGAATGTCCTGTCACACCACAAAGCTTCTGTATGGCTTCTGGTACTCCTTCGTGATCTAACACCTTGATGCTCACAAGGGTTTGCTGAGACGCAGAGTCTATGACAAAGTTGCACCTTTGGCCATCTAGCTTTTCTGTCACATGGACACTGTGTGTGATTGGCATTTTACACCTAGCTGTTGGGACTTTCACGATGGGGGTTGGTGAGTGTCCCTCAACACCAACCACTACTGGTCTCCTTGAGGCTGTCTTGTTGGTAATATTCCTCCTACACTGGCTCCTCAGATGTCCTTGCTCCCCACAGTTCCAACAACCTTTCTTGGTAGCAGCCTTTACTGCTGTATCGTCTCCCCTGTGTTGAAGTTGTCAGCATTGAGCTCTCTTGTGCCCAGGTTTGTTACAGTGCCAGCAAAGTCCCTCAAACTTCTCTGAAAGCTGACCTTTTCTGGCCTTGAATCCAGATGACTGTACCAACCTCGGTACCTCTGTGCTGGACTTAACGTAGGATTAAAATTCGAGAACTCTGGTCATTGCATCCTGCATAGTAGAAGGGTATGCTTGCTTCACTTGTATCTTAAGTTGTGGACTGTCCAAGGCATCTACGAACTGATCCCTCAGCAACAACTTGAGAATGGTGCAGGACATGCAGTACATGTAGTGTT